GCATGGAACCGTGATAGTGATTTGATTCACCAACCTGCTGTACTTATTTTTATGTCTGAAAGCCCTTTCTAATGTAACACGGTTTTATACAGTAGTAATGATGTGACAACAAAGGGAAGGAGAAAACCCTGTTGAGATGAGGTTTATTTGTGTATCAGTTTCTTGTCAGTAAACAAAAACACAATAACAGGAAAGACTTGGATAGACCTGCCTTTTACCTTCCTTTTGTCTTCTGGGATTCCATGGTCCTTGAAAGGCTTAACTAGGCCAGATTTGGAAAGAGTCACCCAAAACCCCATTTGATTTTGTATGAGAACAATGGCCCACTGTCTCAGGGTGGCAGGTTGGTGATGTCATGGCTGGCAGCACCCAAAGGCTCCACGCTTTTGAAGGCACAACATGGCGCCGACAGACTGAGAGGAGGACTGACTTTGTTCGGTTTAATTAGAGTGTGACCGAGGCAGAAAAACTCTCGTCTAAAACCTGCCAATCATCACCACTATAGCTTAGACGACGGCAGAGGAAGAGCTGGGGCACTGCGGAAAGGAGTTTGAATAGAGTTTGTCTGTGGAAGAAGAAAGTTTCATTGTAAATGGTCATAAGCTTAAAGCAGAACGCTGACATGTTATGATAAACGCTTCTCCTATGCAAGGGCGTCAACAAGCACATTTCTCTTGCAAGCGCCGGTGTGACAGAGGGTTGGGGATAATGAAGCAGCAGTCAGGGTTGGGGGGGCTGCATGATGGAGGGCTTTTACACAGGTGCAAGTTTGTGCAGAATAACACAAGTATGAGAACTATTGTCTTATGCCACATGTGCTCTGTCACGGAGAGCAGAACGACTGACGCATCTCTCTGTGGGGGAAAAAAACAAAACAAAAAGGCTAATGCTACTGTTCTCCGGCAATTCCCACAATTATGCTAAAGCGCTTTGAAATGGTGTTGCAGAAAAAGAGGGGAAATGTTTGTGTAATGAGGGATACAGTCATTAGGAGAGAAATCCTCTGAGATGTTTGGACTTCTGACACTGCTTCCAGATGACGGGGGAAGTCGCAGCTGCAGCTTGGCGTCTGCTCGCACTCACACCAGCCCTGCTCAGTGGTGGGATAATATAATTTCCATATTTATGATCAATGTTGTAATTTTGGTATATCCTGTATGTTTACATTTTTGTCTGAGTAAAAAGACAAACTTCAACAGAGTTTTATTTCTCTCAAACTCTCTTGAAACTCTCTCTCTTCTAATCTACAGTGCAACCATTTCCCCCTAAGTAGAAATTTCACAGATGCTATTACTGTACTACTGTTACATAAATATTGCCTGACAAGTGTTTTTTTTTTTTTTTTTAAATCAAATATTTATTGTGCTGCGCTGCATTCAGAAATGACAATGGTTATGAAGCAGAAAATAAATGCGCAAACATTTTACATTTTTTTGTGTTTTTTATCTTTTCTCCCATAATGTTTGTCCTAATACCTGTGTGCCTGACAGCGTTTTTGGCAGTTTCAGTTTATAAACATTATGAAAAATATGTTGAATTTAAATCAATCAACATAATTGTGTAGCACATTATATACAAAATACTACTAAAAGCGCTTCCCATCAACAACATTCAAAAGCCACTATCAGAAAATGAAAACAAATTGTGAAGTGGAATTAGAGAATAAAGCTTCTGCCCAACAACAAGATTAACCATTTTGTACCGTAATAAAACTACTGTTATTTTGTTCTATTATTTGTGTTCCATGATTACAGCTTATTTTTCAAAGAAGAGCCTCTCATCATCACCGTGATATGAAGTCGATTAGTATCAACAAATAGAAGTGAAGTCGATTCGTTGTTTTTGTGTTGGTATTTTGTACCTCAAAGCTGCAGGCCCAATTGAATACATCTATCTTCCAGATTTGAACACAATTACACTCTAAACACTACTATCTGCCATTATTATATTTAAGGACTGAACATAATTGAGATAATCATCAATGATTCATAATTTTTGATGGACTTTATACCTCGAGAATGGAACTGAAATTCCATATACAATTACTTGAAAGAAAATTGCTTCATCCGTTCTACTATAATAATTGTATATTTTCTCTAAATATAGAATTTAATTAAAGAAAAACACTTTGAACTTAGATTAATTCATTTCAATTCAATGTGTTTTTGTACAGCCATAAATCACAACAGCAGTCGTCTCAGAGGACTTTACAAAGTGATCAGAGAATCAAACAGGTTTTTTTGCAATACTAGCAAACACATAGGAACCATTGGTCCATAGGGAGCGGGATGACCAATGTTAATACATGTTATAAATGTAATCATTGTTCCAAATCCTCTGTCCTTAGACCTGTATCGAAAAGGAACAACTCAAAAAACCCACATTTAGAGAAGAATCCTCTCCAATGGATGGATAGTCTCTAGATCCAGGACTCACTGTAGAACAAGGACCGAGTCTTTCCACCCACGCTGTGTCTATCTGTACAATTGAGTCCCACACAGTCATGAACTACAAACTAATGTAAAAGACAATTCAGTTACCCCACCATAAAGGACCATACACTGTTCATAATTAAATGCTTCAATTGTAGTCATCCTGCTTTTTCACTGCACTTTTGACTAATATTGCGCCTCACAGACCGGCCAATCCTTCAGCGCGGGGCTTGGGCACCGTGTCTTTGGCAGTGCCCATGTTTGTCACCATAAGACTGAAGTGATGGAGGGGAGAGAATGGGGGTCCTTGTGAGTGTGTTGTAAACAGCTTAAAGAGAGGCCCCTTTCATGAACTCTGCTAATCTGCAGTCTTCCCTGTGTGCCAAAGGACAAGGTGCTTTGCTTTTCTACCTTCACTCCCTCATTTCGCCTCAGTCTCGTTATAAATAAATTATTTTTTGCTTTTGGCGCGTCTCTTTTGGGGTTACAGTCAATTGTCTGCTTTCAAGTGAGTAGTAATTGATTTGACATGTGCTACTTTGATGCCCTTCCCCTTTGCGTTAGAATTTATCGGAGCTGAGTGTTGCTATAAATAAGCACCCTGGTTTGTGAGGTTGAAACGTGTTGCCGATTCATTTTATTTTAATACCAAGAAGGATCTCATTCTTTTTTTAACTCTATACTAGATCTTTTTTTAGTCACGTTTACAATGCAATTATCAATACAAAAATAGTCCTCCTCTTTGCATCATCTACTACAATGAATGTCTAATGTGGATGTGGGTTATTGTATCAAAACAACTCATAATGACAAAGACAAAATTTGATATTAGTTTGATTTATTTCAAACCCGCAGAACACAATTTCACATATATATTTAACTAGAACGAATTAAAAAAAGCGGTTGGATGAAGCAGATACTTCTTTGTTCCCAACCCCTCTCACAATTCAACACAATCATACACAGAATACAATGCAATTAATCAACATACAATATCAATACACATTTGCAACTGTGCAGTACCTACCGTAATATACAATACCCTACCATGGGGTATATGACACACAAAACACCCAAACAGACACACGCACACACATACTGGCCCATTTTTTGAGGATTTTTAAAAGAAATGTTAAACTATCTCAGAAGAGCTTGACCGTTGACCCCATGACTGTTGTGTTTTTGGGTAATACATACTGTACATACATATATACAGCACATATGGAAAAGCAAACGGCCATAAGGCAGAGTTACAGGCGGACTGTCACTTCCGAGCTTTAAATAATATCATGGGCTTTTGATGTGTACCCTGTTTTCTTTGTTGGATAGTTCAATTGAGGTAACTCGGCAATGTTTGGATGAAGCAATATTATCCATACACTGGGGTTGACACTCCACCTAGTAACTGCTGCGTCCATTTTGGTCCGATTCTTTCCCATTTTGTGTGTGTGTGTGTAAAGCTGAAATGTGACAGGTGAAACTCTTAAAATTAGAGAGACATCCATCCATCCATCCATTTCCTTCCGCTTCACCCGTTGCCGCGTCTAAGCAGAGACGCCCAGACTTCCCTATCCACACACACTTCCTCCAGCTCATCCGGGGGGACCCCAAGGCGTTCCCAGGCCAGCTGAGAGACATAGTCCCTCCAGCGTGTCCTGGATCCGTCTGTCAATCTCACGCTCCATCCTTCTGTCACTCGGGAACAAGACCCCGAGATACTTGAACTCCTCCACTTGAGGAAGGACCTCTCCACCCACCCGGAGAGGGCAAGGCTCTTTTTTCTGGTCGAGCACCATGCCCTCGGATTTTGAGGTGCTGATTTTCACCCCAGCCGCTTCACACTCGGCTGCAAACCGTCCCAGGTCCCCTAGAGAGACATTCACTTCTGTAATTCATCTTACAATTTAAAACTAATAAATAAAATCTATATCATTTACTGGCTTCATATTTTAAGTTAAGTATATACAGTACATTAAACGATATTCTAGTTTTCTGAGATTCACTGGCATATACATGTGTTTTTATGCTTGGTAGAAAAATTGTTAATATCTGTGGTGTCACGTGTCAAGTATCTTTTCTAGTATCAAAATTGGTCATAAAATGTAGTATTGTTACCAACACCACACATATCCTGAATAATGAGAATAAAAGAGTATGCTATTAGAAATTCTCAATAATTCCATGTTATAAGGATCCTTACAGCCTCTTTCATCTTTTACACCTAAATGTGTACCATATTAGGGACAGGGGTATGTATGGGCACGTCAAATTCTCCTCCTTTTTAATGAAGCCGATGTTTCTCACTCATGTAATTATTTCTTTATTGATTCGTCAGCATCCCAGGGAACAGTTTTCATGAAATATATCCATGCTGCAATAACCTGTCTGGCTTTAGCAATGATGAGAGAAAAATCATTAGGAGGATGCCCCCCCGGGGGATTGGAGGCGGCTGTTTTGATGCGAGCTTGTATCCTGATGCGACGGTGGCTGGTGCGGGTTTGAACCAATCACTGAACTGTTGTGTGTTTGTCTCCTCTGCTGTGTTTAGGCCTGAGGAGCGGGGGAAAGATGAGACCTCCTAGTCCTCTGCTGATCCTCTTCTACATCACTCTGTCCAGGAGCGTCAAGGTGGTCTCCAAAAGGGGCTCAGGTAAGGTGGACCAAACTGCATGTTCAAGCGGGAAGGAGGTTAAAAGTTATTTCAAGATGTGTTTGGCCTGGTTTGTGGATAATATCCTTTTGTCTATCCCCGTCTTGTATATTTTTGGTAGAACATAACGGAGTTAGCAATTAATCTGGCCAAAAGTGGTACTGCACTCTCCCTGACTCGGGATGCCAGATGTGCAAGACAAATCCAGCTGGGAACATAATATCTGAATAAAGAGTTTTGTCAACAATCAACACCTTTTTCAGCAAGATAGAAATTCTGGTTTTAGTCCATTTTTTGTCATTAATGATTTGAGAATCACAACGAGTTATTTTTTTGGTTCTTTTTCTTCTTTAGTTTTTTTTTAGTTTAACTTTACCAGTGAGATTAGCTCGATGCAGTGAGTTCTGGCAATCCGGATCACGGACTTTCTGATTGGTGAAACGGCAGAGGGCGGGACATCGAAGGGAAAATAAAAACAAGATTCAGGGGCTGTGAAACAAATTTTGAAATCCCAATATCTCGGCTGAACTGCTGTTATCATTTAAAGAAGTATTGGAAAAGAGCATGTTTTATTAATGTCTTTTGACAGATGAGGGCCAATTAATGATGACTTGACATGAAAATCTTACATATTGCTACTTTTAGGTTGAAGCAGAAATGTGCCTCCCCAGCAGCACAATGATTCTGAAAGCCAAGAGAAATGATAAATAGAAAAATGTGCACAAAAACTCGCATCTAATCCAACAGATCTTGAGAGTTGATAGGAACAAAAGCATTCACAGATGTGGCTATTTCACATGTTTTGCAGGTTTAGGGTCTGACAAAGAAATGCAGTTGTTTAAATGGAATTGGAACTTAAAACAAATAATGATATATTGCTTGGAATAAGACTAGAGGACCTTTATTTGTCCCACAGTGGGGAAATTTCAACAGAGACCTCTGCAATTTAAACATTATTGTGTGTATTGCGAAAACTTATGGATAATTGGTTTGTGAGCTATGTATTGTACAGCCACAGAGCCCTTTATGATTCCCAGTCCAATTGTCTCAAATTTATTGCATCAGCTGTCTGGGCATTGTACTGTATTAGTGGAGGAAACTCTATGTATATTGAGCTGATATCATAGCATAAATAAATCAATCAAGTGTGCTAATAGTCCCTACAGTGGACCAACAATATCTGTGGTCGACAACAGCCGATAATGGATGAATTCTTATTATAAAGCGTTTCCGAATGTTCTTGCGCAAGTCTTATCTCGCAGCTCCCTGTTCTCTGCTAACGCTGCTGCTTTATCAAACATTCCGTATAACGTACATGCTTTTTTCCTAATCAATTCCAATTCAGTGTAATCCCCAACGAACATCGCACACGCTCAAAGCAAAAGGCCAGACTCGATTCCTCCGTTGGCTTGTAATGCCCTCTGCTTCTCGCCCCACCATCCCTCATAGCCGAGTGAATATCTAAAGCCTTAAGATCTGACCTTTATCTGAGGGTTGGTATTGAAGGAACAACAGCGAAACAGAGCAGAAGGCCGACTTATGAATGAGTAATGCAAACGTATCGAGGGATGGAAAAACGATGGGCGATTTTTCTCGCTTGTCAGACAGTGATAGCAACATAGGCAAGAGTAAACGAATGCCAGTCAAATACAATTGATTCTACAATGTGAAAAATCAATGGCTTAATAATCACAATGTTTTCAGTCCATTCATTGCAAACATTGTTATTAATTGCATAAACAAGCTGCCGGGTATTTCCACAAAAAGATACTGGGAGAAAGGTGTGAGATTTTCTGCTGCTGCTGGTTCTATTGATTGAGTGGCTTGTCTCCGGCACATTCTTTTTGCCCTTATGAATTGTTTCTTGGTTGTATCGCAGCTAGGGGCCCGTTGTTTTGGGATTTCCGTATAGATCGTATCTCCGGACAGCGCATCGGATCAATCAAACCGCTCCCCCCAGAGTCCTTCACTCAAATATCGATAGCGGTGGAGTCAATATTACCGCCCAGACTCGGGGTCATAGGCGATGGAGTGTCAGCTGCAGTTTGGGTCTTTAATGGCCCTTTGAAAGGCTCCCGTGTCCGTCTGCGCTGGTATGAAGCGTGTTAGGGTTCGGGACATTATCATTTTGCTTTTTTAATTTGAGTCGGCATGCACACTGTTTTACCTGATCACAAAGACGTATTTAAAGGTGAACTGTGACATTATTTTGAAGCGTGTACTTTCCAATCTAAATGTGGTTGTTTAGCCTGGATTTGAGACATTTTGTCATATACATAGATCCATAGCCAACATTAGAACATAGAACATTTGTATGTGCAACATTCTTGGTTTCCTGCACAAATTTGTAGTAATTTTAGTATTTTAATTCTTCTTATATTTTGTTTTCATCAGAACGTTTTTTCAGTTCCAGATTGTACCTTATATGGATCCCAGCTATTAACACAATACATTTGAGGTGTAGTAGTTTATTTCTTCTGTCATTATGAACATTAGATCTTAGGTCTCTTTGTTCAAATATACAAATAAAGATGACATACTTACTTTCTTACTCTGGCCTTTCACAGACTAGAGTCACAAAGCGCTTTACAATTGTCTTCCGCACAGAGATGGGAGCGGGGTCGTCATACAGGATGCTGATTCTAGATAATTGTACATATTTTTACTGGTAGGGGAAAGCGGAGCACCTGGAGCAAACCTACGCAGACACAGAAAGAAACATGGCAACTCAAAACAGGCCTGGAGAAAAAAAGACCAAAAAAGGCCTGGAGATGGAATTGAACCCAGGACCTTCTTGCTGTGAGGCACAAGCGCTAACCATTGCACCACTAACTGCCCAACCTCTTTTACAACTGTGACAATATGCCCAAAGATGACACATTCTACAGATTCTCATCTACCAACGATGTATAAACAATTTTATATATGTAACTGCTCTAAATGAATACTTCCTCTCAGTTTTGGAGGCCAACATTAAAACCGTATCATTTTTGAGTTTCCTTCTAAGCAGCTTAGATCTACACGTTCGTGCTCTTTTGCTTCTCACCATTGACTTTTGACAAATTGACGTGGATATATGTGAAGTGTCCGCGGCCGGCACAAAATGCAGCGGTAAAGATGATTAATCGCATGATCGGGCCTCTGCTGGGGGATTGTTTCTGGGTCAAAGGTTTGGGACATTAGTCTTCATGTGTTTCGGGGTGAAGGAGATGAAGCAGTTGGTCTCTCATGGCCGCCATTACATTAACTTAAGCTAACCGTTCCCAGCCATGTGTCTGCTACCGCTATTGTCGAAAAAGACTCTTGGAGAAGAAGCTTATATTTTGTGCCGGCTGCTTCACATGGGACTAGTTTGTGATTTTTCGCAGGTTTGGGTAAATGTATGGGAGTTTCATCTCTCAACCTTGAGGAGCTATGGATAACGGATCAGCTATGAGGACTTGATTAGCCCTCAAGAGGCACTGGATAAAGCTGCACTTCAATTGATTTTCTTCCCCCAAGTGTCCACACCGGATTCCTGGAGTTGTAGCTCTCTGAAATCCTATAATTATTCAATGTGTAGTCAGCCTGGGCCTGTATTACCTGATTTAATGAGTTTCCCAAAGGTGTAGGAGCTGCTTCTTATTCCCTCATTGTTTGTGCCACACCTCTGCACCGCTCATGTTTTTAATGACCACTTGGCCACAATGGGATTGCAATTGAACTATATTATTCTGGGTTGCATTGAAGAGAAGACTGGTGAAAAGAAGCTTTTATACGTGGATGCTTTTAAGAAGAATACAAAAGAGAGCACTGATCGGAAACCGTACGGAAATCAAAGCAATAAAACATTGCGCTGGAAGTCAATTACTACTCTCTTAAGGTTCTTGCATAATGTTTGTGCTTATGTTCTTTCAACCGTTTAGATTTGAATCATTCGGCTCCATTCATTCGATGAAGATGGGAGTTGTTCATACATTTCCTTTGCTTAATCTCAAAAGGGGTCGAGTGATTTTTGTGGCTCACTTGAGTAATAACGGTGTACCTAACCTTTTTCTTTAATCAAAAATACATTGTGTTTGTCCCAACAATAGGAGTCAGGTCAGACCACAACATGCTTCTTCATAAAAAAATAATATATACAGTATATCTTGTGCATGCGCATTGGGCTGGTCTTCTCTTTTACACTTTTCTGTCTGATGAATGAGTGAAAGCAATACATGCGTGATGATTTTTGAAGATGGATCATAGTTACCTCAGCCCAGGAGGTAAAGTGATTGCTGTGTTTGTCTGTTTGTCTGTCTGTTAATCTGTGAGCAACATCATGCTAAAATATATGGGAGAGTTGTTAAAACATTTTTCAGGAAACAAATGCAATGACGGAGTGAACAAGGGATTACACATATCCAGCAACTATTATTAGTTTCAATAGTAATGTAACCTGTGACCATGGATACAGCCTCTTGATAGAGACCTATAGGACCTGCAGGCAATGAATCCAAGCTCTTTAGCATTTATTTTGGTTTGGTCAGTTTTTTGCACTGGATTTATTTTTGAGGTGATCCTTGCTGATGCTGGAGGGTCTAAGGACAGTGATGATCCTGGACATTTATTAACATGTATTGACATTGATCACCCTGATCCCTATGGACAAATGGCCCCTATGTGTGGTTCTTTTTGCATTTCCTGTGTTCGACCTGTTTGTCTCTCTGATCTGTCGTTGGCAAATCTACAACGTTGTAAATTCTGCCACTGTTGTGATTAAGATATATACAAAAATAAATGTAATTTAATATTACAATGCATCCAAATGTGCTTTCACTTACACTTTCGAGGAAAGCTCCAGCTGCCTTGGAGCACACTGACAGAACGTGGCTGCCAGTGAAAGGCTGATTCACACAGACTTTTGGGAATAAAATATTTACAGTGAGTGTGTTTTCGGCGATGAGAACGTTGCCTGACTCACTTACCGTGCGAGTATCCGTATGCTGCACATATGCACCCTAAATTGCTGAATTGTTTACTCCTCGCTGCTGTGAAATGAATGCTTTGAGGCGGTTGTATTTTCGCTGTGCAGTGACCAAGGCCTCGCTGACTGTGTGAGATTTACTCCGGGGGACTTTGAGGACGGCTCTGACAGAGACAAGCTGTCAGGCCCCATCCATCAGACCCCTATAGCAGCTTGGCCCAGTCAGACCTGAGAGGGCCAGTCCCAGCCTCCTCTGTCCCACTGATAAGACCCACACACAGAAGGCGTAATGAGAACGGACAGGCTCTCTTTAGAGCGCACAAACACAATTACCAATCTGCAGCAAGCTCAGGGCACCATTGAAGTATGGGAAGGAACTCTTACCTCAATATCAACTTTTAGGAGTCGTTAAAAGTATGTCGTTCTGCTACAGGGGGAATCTGATAAGGCTAAGAGACAATAATTACACTTTGAAGATATTTTATTAACTTTTTGTCTCGGGCCATTTTGAGTGTAATTTATTACGACAAAAATAGGTATAACCAAACGAATTAGGATTATTGTTCAAATAGTGAATTAACAGTTTGCGTATTTGCTTGAAGCTACATGAGATATATTAATACAAAGATTAATTTAGAAAATAATTATGTTTGTTGGCCTCAGGTTTTCTTGTCAATAGTTTGTTATTAAAGCCAGTTGCTATGGAGACTGTGGAGATCTTTGATGATTGGTGATAAAGGTTAATTGTCCTAGAACATCTACAGTTGTGAGTGTTGTTGTTTTGTACAATTGTTACTAGTATGAAAGATGAAACTTTATCATATCTATCATTATAGATATATGTTCTTATAAAGTCCAATGTATCGGCACCAGCTCTCTAAAAGGTCCTTTGACCCGTGTGTGTTTGAAGCTTTTGTTTGGTCATTTTGTGAGAAATATCTATAAGCTACACTTTTAGTGGTACTAGCATCCTGACAAGATCTGGAATAAATAAATATTGTCTGGATAACTTTTTAGGAACACACTTCTCTAATAAATATAAACAATTCCAACATGTTTTTGTCATCATTGTTTGTTTGTTTGTTGTTTTTCTTAAAAAATGTGCAAACATAAACACACACAGGTCCAGGGAAGAATCAAACAAAACAATCAGAACTGTTACACATGGTAATAAGACTCTCCTTTGCAAAAGTGCGCTTTCGCTCTGGCTTCAAATCGGCAATGTCCGAATTACAATGACTCTAAATCGATGAAATAATTGACACACAGAGTACCACCAGAAGTACACACACTGCGGTTTGAGAAACACTGATAACAACAATGTTGCTATTTCCATCTACGTGAATGGAAGCAGTGGCTACATTAAACATTTAACCTTTGTTCAAAAATGATCATTGCTTTTTTAATCTTATTGGATAGAGCATAAATCCAGGGATAATTGAATCATTTTGAAGCAGTACTTTGTAGGTTGCCTCCGTGGCGCCCTTAAAAGCACACTTCCACGCTCACTTGTACCTGAGGGCTCCCCCATTAATCATCAGCTCTGGGACCCTCACATTGGCTCTCCCGGAGTCACAGGTCACATGTAGTGTATCATTGTGGGTTTGCCCCATGGATCCTGTGTGTTTGTCTACAACCCGCCTCACCCCTAATGCACACACTGCACCAGAGGAGACTACAGAGCAGCACACTCGGACGTAGAGAACACAGGATTATTTCTATTCTAGTTCGACGTTCCATTGTTTGGATCTTTTGGAACTCCAATCAGTAGCAGATGTTCCACTGTGTAATGTTAAATTTAGCACATTCATATTCAAATTCATTATATTCGCAATTTGCAGGAAAACCACATTGGAACACATTTGCAAAAGTCCCCAGTGTGCACCAGTCAAGTACATAAATAAAACAAGGTTAAAAGTACAGGAATAAAACTTGCTAAAAAAAAGTGCAGAAACAAGTGACTAAAATCGATCAACAAAAACCATTTCAATACAAGTGCAAGATTATTAGTGCTCTGTTTAGCAGCTTGTGGAAAGAAGCTGTTGGTAAAACGAGATGTCCTGCATCTCAACGAATGATATCTTCTGCCAGAAGGAAGAAGCTGGAACATGCCGTTTACTGGGGCTGGAATAGCCTGGTCGTACTACACCATAGTACAAAT